TCAAGGGGTTGTACAACAACTCCGTCCATTCTGCCACCGCAACGACACCTAACAGGCTGCATTACGGGTGGCAGATCCGTAATCTGCTCTCCTACTTATTCCCTGAACAGGCAGCTGGTTTAACACCCGGCAGGCCCGACTTCAGGGCTAAGTATGATCGCTTGCTCAAAGTTGTTGTTGCAACCATGACCAAGCGACAGCGTGCCATGATTCACCATGCGAACAAGAAGCGCAAACCATCGGAGATTCAGGTAGGAAGTTATGTGTGGGTAAGGATGTCTGAATTCTCAGAGGGGGAGGGAGTCTCACGCAAACTCCTCCCACTCTACTACGGGCCTTGGGAAGTTTTGGATGTAATTGGCATAGCTACGCCGGACGAGACCCCGGAACGATTCCGGGCTCCGGATCCCGGACCTTCCGGTCGGTCCCGGAACTCCGGAACTCCGAAATGTTCCGAAGGTCCCGGAATGTTCCGGATCCACATTCCGGATGCCCATCCGGATTGATATATTTTCCGGCAAAAAAAAAAAAAAAAAAAACACCAGAACAGAACATGGTACGTTCATACATTACCTCAGCGAGCAATGGGCACTGTGCTGTCACTGCCAGCCAGCGTGCACACTGCACACAGAATCAGAAATGGTTGAAAATTGAATTGCACAAGYTAGTAGCACAAGTTGCACAACTTGAACTGTGTTTATGACTCAGMAGAATCAGAAGAGGGTCAAGAGAAAGAATGAGGAGAAGRACTCAAAACTGAATAAATGGTAAATACTAACTGAATATCAACAGATTATATACTATATAGTCATTTGCCAATGGGCTTTTAGCCTTCTAGACCGCCGTTGTCCAGTAAGTGTGGTAAGTGATTGTACTACCATTGTAAACAATGCAGAGTCATTCATGAATCATGATTGACAAATCATGAATGACCGCCCCAAAACCGGCAGTCTCTCTCTCTCTCTCTCTCTCTCTCTCTCTCTCTCTATGTCCCCTTCCTTTTTTTCTCAGCCAATGGCCGCTCATCATCGTCTGATGAGTAGTCCGATGAACATTCCTCTTCATCATCACGTGGCCTCTTCCTTGCCACACCCTCGTCCTTGCCCCCCTCATCCTTGCTCCCCTCTCCTCCGTTCTTTTCAAGTGTTTGCGCAGGGTTTTCCTCGAGTGTCTGCGTAGGGTTGTTCTCTCCCTCCGCAGTCACGGCATCTGAACCCCCCACATCCGTCGCTGGCGTTTTTCTTGGCCTGCCTCTACCTTTTTTTTGGCGTGGAGGATCAGGCTGTGCCGACGATGTACCTGTCTCCTTTTGTGGTGCTGTCGTCGCAGCACCATCAGGCAATGTCTCACCACCCCCCTTTCTGTGAGCACGCATGTGTCCCTCTGTTCCCACGGTGCGTGCCCTCCTTCGCGCTTCAGTTTGGGAACGCTTGACGAGGAAGTTGCCTGCCTTTGTCAATCCACGCCAGTCCCCGCAATGACCCTCCTCAATCTCCTCAAGGTTGCATTCTTCACGGCACGGAACAGCAACTTCATCCCCATCTTCGTCACCCCCGCCATCAACAGGTGGAACAAGATCGTCACCAGCCGAGGTAAGGCTCTTCAATCTGCGCTCAGCCAACTTCACTCTTTCTTTAGCCTCCTTTTGCTCCTCCTCCTTCGGTGGGTCATCCCATTCAACAAGGTCTTTTGCCCTCTCCGGCATCTGCTGCAGCGAGTCAAGCAGGCGCATATTCCACTTCGTGTACACCAATTTGTGCATTGTCTCCGGGGCCAAGGCATTCCGCTCTTTGGAGTGAATTGCTGCAAAAAGGCTCCAATTCCTTTCGCAACCTGAAGCCGATGACCCTTGCCCCAATAGCCGAATGGCATGGGGCTGCAAGTGTTGCAACTCATTGCACCTGCGCTTCCACCATGCTGCAGGGTTTTGCTTACGGGCTGCATCCGTGGCCGCTTGCGAGCTGAACTTCCCAATGTTCTGAACCCAACAATCCACTTCGTACTCCACCTGATCGCACACCTCCTGCGGCGACCCTTTCAGCCATGTGTACACCCAAGTGTAGAATCCATCTTGGATCTCTGGATCGTTGTGCGGCTCAGACGTCCGGTACTCCGGATCCAAGAACAGGGCTGCACAGTGGAGGGGGGTGGTCATAGCATTCCATCTGCGCATGACCATCACCTCGATCTCCTCCCGGTCCTCTGCCGTCAGGTCCTTGTTGACTCGCAGGCGTTCCACTATCCTGTCCATCTTCGCATAAACCTTGCTGATGGTTGGACCGTTGCCATCCACCACCTTCAACAGCAAAACAATGTCGTATACGGCATTGATTGCCTTGTTGACATTTTCCCAAAAACCTGCTGCATCAAGCAAGACATCTTCCATCTCGTGGAAGGTCGATCGCTGTGCATGGGGAACCAACGTCGCTGTCCACCTCTCGTCTGTTGTGACCATAGCCACCAATGCTTTTCGCTGTTTCTTCAAGCAGTCCAACATGTGGAAGTTGGTGGCGAAACGCGTTGCTGCAGGTCGCAGTAGTTGTCTCCCACCCGAGTGGATGTAGTAAACATCCCTGACTCGCTGGTGGTTATTGATGAACTTCACCAAGTCATTCGCCTTCCCCACCGTTCGAGCCACCCACTCCATCTTCCCAAYAKCRTRCAACACTAAGTCAAGGCAGTGYGCAGCRCATGGCACAWGGAAGATCGTAGGGAATGTATCCTCCACCAATCTGCCAKCTCTCACACACACTGCAGCGTTGTCCATGATCACTCCAACAACACTTTTCTCACCAACTTCGCGAATGGACTCGGACAAGATATCAAAGTACGCTGYTGCGCCYTTGTCCTTGCCTKACATGCAGTGCGACTTCCAAAAAAGCACACCGGTCGGAAAGGAGACCATTACATTCAAGTGTGGTCTGCCTCTCCGATCAGTCCAGCCATCAAGCTGGAGCATGCATCCWGATCGAGGCCAGCTCCTTTGMTGCCGCAAMMCCCCCTCCYCGASGCGACCCCRYGACATGTCCAACCTTTTCGTCCGCTGCGCGTCGTACTTTGCAGGGATGAAGGACCGCTCTGCATCACGAACCTTATTCAGCATGCGCAAGAAATACTTACTGCGCACCATGTTGAACGGGACTCCTTTGTAAATCAACCAATCATCTATGGAGCACTGTGCTTCTTCATTCTTCGAGATGATTGCCCCGCCCTCTTCCAGCGTGCTCTGCCGCACATTGGTTGTCGTCGAAAGGCCAGTCTTGACTCTGTTTTCCGCTGGTTGGGGGCTGCTGCACTCGTCCTCGGCGTCCACGTCTTCCATGCCTTCGAGGTCGGAAAGGCAATCATATGACGGTGCCCGAGGCACAGCCTTTCCCAACACCAGCGCAATTGCCTCCAGCCGACCCAACTCCCTCCTCTCCTTTTCCTCTGCCGACAACCTGTTGCCTAGCCTGTTGATGTTGCACCTGGGCCCTTTTGTCGTGGACATGAAGTGCTTTGCACAGTGCTTTGCGCTCCCAGGGAACAGCAGTTCGCAATACAGGCATTTCCATATGTAGTTCCCTTTCCCCGGCTCCCCATGCACTCCAACATTCTCAAAGTGGCGCTTGATCGCATCTGCACCTGCTTTAGGCATCCTGAATTTGGTGGCGCGTCTGGCGACAAGTTGACGACAATGCAGCAGAACAGCAAGCAAGGGGTGTCAGATCATTTCTAAGTGCGCTGCTCTCTCTCTCTCTCTCTCTCTCTCTCTCTCTCTCTCTCT